GCTAACGCTATCTAACAGAAGCTAACGCTATCTAACAGAAGCTAATGCTCTCTAATAGATGCTAACGCTCTCATAGAAGCTAACAATCTCTAAGAGAGGCTAACGCTCTCTAACAGAAGCTAACACTCTCGAAGAGAGGCTAACGCTCTCTAAGAGAAGCTAACGCTCTCAATCAGAAGCGAACACTATCTAACAAAAGCTAACGCTCTCATAGAAGCTAACGCTATCTAACAGACACTAACACGGTCTAATAGATGCTAATGCTCTAATAGAAGCTAACGCTATCTAACAGAAGCTAACGCTATCTAACAGAAGCTAATGCTCTCTAATAGATGCTAACGCTCTCATAGAAGCTAACAATCTCTAAGAGAGGCTAAGGCTCTCAAACAGAAGCTAACACTATCTAACAAAACCTAACACTCTCATAGAAGCTAACGCTATCTAACAGACGCTAACGCTCTCTAATAGATGCTAATGCTCTAATAGAAGCTAACGCTCTAATAGAAGCTAACGCTCTCTAACAGAAGTTAATGCTCTAGTAGAAGCTAACGCTCTCTAACAGAAGCTAACGCTCTAATAGAAGCTAACAATCTCTAACAGAAGCTAACGCTCTAATAGAAGCTAACAATCTCTAACAGAAGCTAAAACTCTCTAAGAGAGGCTAACGCTCTCTAAGGGAAAGGGGAAGAGGAAGAAGAAGAAGAAGAAGAGGAAGAGGAACAGGAAGTCCCCTTACCTGAGGGTAAACGTCTCCACAGGAGAGGACGCCGACACGCTGACGACAGCAGACAGCGTCTCCTTCTGTTTGACGGCCACAGCAGGGACCGTGACCATGAAGTTGTCGTCCAGCCTGTGTTCAACCAGCGGGGCAGGGGCCGGGTCCCGGTACAGCCTCACGCTGCCGATCCTGTTGAGCGGCGAGGAGGCGAAGGAACCCGACGGTTCTTCCCGGCTCCCGGCCTCCTCCGAGCGGCACTCTCCTGCCTCCGCGGACCGCAGCTGGTAGTACAGCTCCACCGGCGTCCCCTCGGACACCCCGGGGACCCTCTGGCGTCCCGGGACCACCCCGGGCGGTCCGAACCACCCGGCCAGGGGCTCCAGCCCGGCCACACCCAGGCCCCGCCCCCCCCCCAG